GATTTGTGTGAAGGAATCTCAGTCGAGTTTGAATAAGTCCTGATCTTGTAACTTCGTCATACAAAATATCCTAAAAAATGGTTCCATTATTATTAACAAATTCAAGTCAAAATAATAAAACTGGCCAATAATAAAAAAATAATCTGCGTATGCAATTTAGCACAATTCAATTTGTATTACTCACAGTGCCATTTGTGCTTCCGGGTCCGTGGTAGCGCCAGAAAGGAACAACAAGAATAATTGCTTTCGCAAATAGTTGTTGATCCTTGGAGCTTGGCGATTCCCTGCAAAATATTTAATCAAGTTTACAGGTGCTAGTTAATAATGTATAGAATTACGTGGATTCATTTGTACCCCTTCAGTTGAACAAATAAGGCTACAAAATCCTTAATCAAAATTGACGAAACTTCAGAATCGACGCAGGCCTTTTCGTTTGTTTGCTCAACTAATTGATTTAGATGACGGTTCTGCTCGAGGTGCGCCAATAGAATCTGAAATACTCGTTAATAATAAGTATGTAAATATGATACTTGATGTCAAAGAAATTAACATTTAAGTTTAGTTGGATAATTGTAAAGAGTTTAGCAACTTACCTGCTTATAATTTTCTATTTCTTCATCCTCCCTGCTAGTGAATAAGATTGGTTGATTTGTTGAGCTTACCAATGGGGATAGGGGGTTCTCAACTAATGATTAGAATAAATTTGTGTGAGTGTAACATTTTTCGATGAACTTTTAATTTAAAATATACTTACTGTACTTACCAAATACAATCGGATTTTCTTCTCCTGCTACAATCAAAACCAAATTTGGGATTTGATCTTGGGACATTAAAATTGGGAAAATGTCATCGTCTACTTCTGCTCCTTGGTCATCTTCAAAACTAACACTTATCTCCGCATTAATTCCGAACTTTACCTTTACTGAAAAATAAATAAAAAATATGAAGTATTTATATTTTGTTTGCCGGTAGAAATATTACATTTTTACAATTTATAAATAAATTACAAGTACTTACCAGAATCTGCAAATAAGTGATAGTCTTCGTTGAGGATTATTAATTTCTTCCCCCTTGCGAGGTTAGAAACACGAACTAATTTTGTCATTTTGGGAATAACACTTACTGTGTGGAAATAAAATGGCGAATGGAATGAAAAGATTTAAACAAACCGCCACTTGGTCAGGTTGAGATTTGTTTACCGGAGGATGAGGAAATATTAGATTTTGAAGATGTTTCATTACACACAGGTAACGATGCTCATGTTTCCAAGTTTAACATTAAATTATTCCAAATGGTATGAATCTTGGTAACATTTTTAATACTATGCATTTGACATTTTATTACGGTCGGTTTAACACTACTCTGTACCGACTCTGGTAAAGATTTTGGTAATGATTTTATTACCTCAAGTGGTATCAGTTGTAATTACCATCACGTGGTAGTAAATATTTTCGTCATTTTATTACCAGTTTATTTTGAGTGTGGTGTAAATATCTCAGGAGTAGAAGGTCACTACTTGTCGGGCCCCGATTTCGATCTCCTTTGGATATGTTGTAGTACTACATGAGTGTAGAAAAAGTGAAGGAGGGTTAGACTCCATGAGCCCATCTACGCCCGCCACACCCCCTCAAAGGCGCCCAAACCCCCAGAGTTACCGCACTAAATTCATCGCCAAAAATCGAGTTTTGGTCAGATTTTCAAAAAATTTACATTTTTGTGATCCCAGATAGTTGCTCTATCACGTTCAATAGCAAACTCAACTTTTTTGAAATTTTCAATATTTTCGAAGATTTTCTGACCAAGCGTATGTATTGAAAAAATTCGAAATTTCAAAAAAGTTGAGTTTGCTATTGGATATGATAGAGCAACTATCTGGGATCACAAAAATGTAAATTTTTTGAAAATCTGACCAAAACTCGATTTTTGGCGATGATTTTAGTGCGACAACTCTGGGGGTTTGGGCGCCTTTGAGGGGGTGTGGCGGGCGTAAATGGGCTCATGGAGTCTAACGCTCCTTCACTTTTTCTACACTCATGTAGTACTACAACATATCCAAAGGAGATCGAAATCGGGGCCCGACAAGTAGTGACCTTCTACTCCTCAGTCAAACCTTCGCATTGGCAGATACGGCCATTTGCAAATTTCATACTAATTACGTTTGTGATCCATTGACACCGGTTTGAACTAAATCTGTGAGTATATGTTGGAAGACCTCCATTGTTAGTGTCAAGATTAAACTTGAGTTTCAAGATGCAGGGATTTTGCTTCGGGGAATTTTTCTGGTTGTCTGCGTTATATGTACACTCTCAATAATTTTTTGACGATATTGTTACCGGCGGAGGTACTATGCAATTCTACCGCTCGGGTAATAATTTATCACCGAAGGGTAGCATATATACAGAGGCTAAATCCTGCTCGACCCCCAATGTCAACGCTCAGGTAATAAAAATGTTACCGATATCGGAGGCAATTTCTTACCCTCAGAGACAATTTGTTACTATATTGTTACCACGCGGTAGAGTTGCATAGTATCTCCGCCGGTGACAATTTTGTCAAAAAATTATTAAGAGTGTACATATAGATACATATATTTTTTTTAATTCTCGAGGACGAATGGTAGGTGCACAGTTTGCGCAGTTAGTAAAACATATTGAGGGCATTCTTTCCGAGTTTGTATTTTTAGCAACATTCGCAAAAAAGTTCGCAAATTCATAACAAATTCCGGCTTGAAAATATGAGCTTCCGCATCTAGAAACCTAGTATTTTGTTTGCAAAGTTATCTTCAAAATTATATTGCGCTGCGAGCATCTGAGCTCTTAATGAATACCCCTGTTAATTGATATATATATCCTTTGATATATATTCTCGATTATCAATTACAAAAATTATCTCTTTATAAAATTTCCAGAACATAGTCATGGCAACAGGGATGATTAGAATTCCGACTATGAAAAGGGCATACGAGGGTGGAATAATATGTAAATAGTTAGAAAAATTAGAAGGAAATGCATTAGAATTTAGAACCAAACCTTTTGCGCAATAACAGACCTTAAATACATATCTACATTTAAGAAGTTGCGATTTTTCCAACGTCCTACGTTAACAACATTGACTACAGTAAACTGTGACAACAGTAAATTTTCAAATTTTAAAATCTACCGAAGAAAATACAAATTTTAAAATAATATTATGTATCGCAGTGTGATCGGGTTTTTAATATTGTAGAAGAAATGTGTCCCACAAATTCATGTTATCATTGAAATGAACAATGAGAAATACCCATCGAGGAAAACAATTAGAGTTGCCAGCGAGTCGACTCATTGAGTTGTGAGTCGAAGCAAGCCGGCTTGGCTTGACTCGACTCATTAAGAATCTGAGTGAGTCGAGTGAGTGGAGGGAGCTTATTGACGAAGCATATGTACATACGTGTGCGTGCATTTTGTGTTTACAAGTTGGAGAGAACTGAATTTGTTTGTGTATGTGTGTAAGTACGAGGAGGCGGAGCCAGCCGGCTTATTGAGTGAGTGAGTCAAGCCGAGTCCAACTCACTCGCAACTCAATAAGCCAACTCATTGAGTCGACGGCTTACTTGAGGTCAACTCGACTCGGCTTGACTCGACTCACTCAATAAGCCGAGTCAAGCCGAGTTGAAGTGGCAACTCTAGAAACAATACACGATTTGCAATTTAATTGAGTGAAAATCGGTCTGGTTTGAATAACGCCAAACGCCTAGAAATTGGTTTCCACAAAGATTTTAGAATTTATATCTCCTAAATTAGGAGATATAAATTCTAAAATATTAGGAGTATTAGGAGTCCTAATACGCTGATTTACATATATAAAATAGTACGATAAATTGTGCAACTATCCAGAAGGACTGGCTGAGCTTGGGCGTTGTAATTACATAACTGTGAGGTCAAAGAAATGAATTTGGTATTTTTTTCAAGGGATATTTTATAAATTTTTAGTAACTTTTTATGGGGATTGTCAAAAAATTGCTTCACAAAATTAAGCTATCGCATAAAGTGTACAACCATCCAACCCGAGAACAAAGTCAAGTCGTAAATTTTAATTTTCGAAGTAAATTTGAAAATTAAGAGTAGCCGACACTGTTCACGTACAAAGTTAAAAAACACAACTTCCAAAATGTGGTTGAGGTTTGTTATCATGGAAAATGTCGATTTCAATCTGTTTTCATCCTACTTTTTATAAGTACAGGTATTTATTGTTGCACCCTCGTATGTATGCATGTATGTACAACAATTAGTTCCTAACTAACAACAGCGTTATATGTATCCAAAGACTATTTAATCTGCAAGTTTCAAGGAGTTTCAATTCTTTAATTAAGAACTGATACAATTTCTATTGCTTTGTGTAATGAGTTGCTATTATAATTTTTTCTCCAATTTATCAATCAATTTTGCGTGAATCTCCGTTATATAATTTATTTATTAGGAACAATCACACATAGAATATTCTGGATTTATATAAGTTATGAATTAATTTTGTTGGCTTTATCTTAAATATCTAACATAAGTACGTCATCATAGTACGTCATTCGGCCCAATTGCTGCATATTTCATCCAATTTTCGTAGAAATTTGTCCGACTTAATTAAATATACACATAAATTGATCAGTAATTAGCTGCGTGTGCATTTATGCAACTTGTTTACTTGTCACACACAGGCACTTTTTGTGCGTAACGCATGTAGCCAGTTATTTATATAAATATCAATGAATATGCATCAATGACAGGTGACTCACGCACTTTGAATTTTTGCAATTTATATAATTGGCACTAAACACAAGAATAGATCGCCTTGCTAAAAATCTTGTATAAAATAGGTGCAAACTCAGAGTGTATTTATAGAGTTGTGGACCAGCTTTGATACTAAGAGGCGATAACAGAAGCAAATATAAATTTTCCTGAAAATTTGAAATCGAAAAAATGGGGCTACGATATTTCCTCGTTTTTCTACTACCAACTGTAGTCTGGACAATGTCGCTGAGTCAAACTTTTTGGGATGAGGGTGGATCTTGGGAGGAAATTGAGGAGGCTGAATATTTGAACTTTGATTCGGATTCGGAAAGAACACCGGCACCAATTAAACCGCCTACTTTAAAGCCAAAGAATGGTGAGAAATTATGTTAATAAAAGCGTTTAGGATAACTCTATCAGAATAGATTTTAATTCTGTACAAACCTAACCTTTTAAGTGCTAACTTTTAACGAATTTGGATAGGATCCCCATGTTTCAAAACGAACCAAACTGCAAATTATACGAGCAATGCGGGTGATTATGTGAGTTGCATATGCCAAGCTCACAAGCAAACTATAATCTGGGTGCCTGTCACGCTGAGGAGGTGGAATTGTACCAAAACACCGGGCACGACGACGACCACGGAAGCTACCACGACTACCGAAGCTACGACAACTACTGGGCCAACTACCACTACTGAAGCTACTACGACGACTGAAGCTACCACGACCACTGAAGCTACTACAACCACTGAAGTTACCACCACTACCGAACCAACCACGACCACTGAAGTTACCACCACTACCGAACCAACCACAACCACTGAAGCCACCACCACTACAGAACCAACCACAACCACTGAAGCTACCACGACCACTGAAGCTACCACCACTACCGAACCAACCACAACCACTGAAGCTACCACCCCTACCGAACCAACCACAACCACTGAAGCTACCACCCCTACCGAACCAACCACAACCACTGAAGCTACCACCACTACCGAACCAACCACAACCACTGAAGCCACCACCACTACCGAACCAACCACAACCACTGAAGCCACCACCACTACCGAACCAACCACAACCACTGAAGCTACCACGACCACTAAAGCCACCACCACTACCGAACCAACCACGACCACTGAAGCTACCACGACCACTGAAGCTACCACCACTACCGAACCAACCACAACCACTGAAGCCACTACCACTACCGAGCCAACCACAACCACTGAAGCTACCACGACCACTGAAGTTACCACGACAACCGAAGCTGCCACGCCCACTGAAGCTACCACCCCTACCGAACCAACCACAACCACTGAAGCCACTACCACTACCACTGAAGCTACCACGACCACTGAAGCTACCACCACTACCGAACCAACCACAACCACTGAAGCTACCACGACCACTGAAGCTACCACCACTACCGAACCAACCACAACCACTGAAGCTACCACCACTACCGAACCAACCACAACCACTGAAGCTACCACGACCACTGAAGTTACCACGACAACCGAAGCTGCCACGCCCACTGAAGCTACCACCACTACCGAACCAACCACAACCACTGAAGGTACCACGATAACTGAGGTGACCACTACAACCGAACCTATCACGACCACGGAAGCGATTTCAACAACTGAAGTCACTACGACTACCGAACCGATCACGACAACTGAACCAATTACAACTTCGGACTCAGCCCTTATTTCTTAACACAAGCGAACCAAAACACGTATATTTTCATAACGAACATTTTTTCAAACCTTGCGAATATTTTGTAATCTGGAAAAAAGTATACATATGTAATAACTTTTCACCGTAAGTAAGTAAACCAATTGAACGCTAACTCGAATGAAACAATATACCTTTCGCATAGATAGAGATGTAACTTTAATTGGCCATTAGGTGGATCAAATGCCACAAAAATACGTTTGAGTACCTAACCAAAATACAAAAGGTCAAAGCTCAAATTCATTAATAGCCCGTTTTATTTCCGACCTGATTGACTCAGCCAATTTTGCAAAAAAAAATAAATACCCATACATTCATTGTTAAATCACCGAGATGAAATTGTACACGTTAAAATATTCATCCAAGCCACTGATTAGCATTTAATTCTATTTATCAATATTTTTCAAGCTATTCATACCCACGCGGTAGAAGGACCCACATTTCCTGTACCACTATAATTATATTTTTACAAACCTAACATTACATTTTCTAGTATCACTACTGGCAGGAGTAACTATGTGACTCCGCCGAATTTTTAACAGTATAACATTATTCTGCAAACCCATAATTTCCGAAATTTTATAAAATAGTTATGCATACATAGATACATAGCTTCCTAACCTATTTTTCAAAATTACTCGATATACTGGTTACCTAAATAAATGAAAGTATCCCCAATCGATAGTACATAAAATCCTTCCTACAAAAAAAATTAATCCATTCGAGTTATGGATTTCTAGCTTCACTACAGTTTCCAAACTTACTGAAAAAATGCACTCTTCAAAATACTACCGACTTTTGTACATCAGTTGCAAAATCTGTACATACTTTGGCACCATTGGGATGACCTTTGACCCCAAAACTCATCTCTATCAGTTGGACGAACGTGCCAGAAAACGGCAATTTTTCTCATGTTTGGCAGTATCGCTTTGCATCATTTTCACCTCTGTGAAAACGTATGAAATTTACGATGAGGAAAAAGTCACGCAAGAATTTAATCTCTGCTATGTTTTTACCTTCGTCGGAATTTTGCTGGTGGGACCACTTTGGAACTATTTCGTGGAAGAGGACGACTTTGTCATGGTGTTGAATCAGTTGTTATTTTACCAAGAAAAATTTCGTGGTGAGTGTTTTTATAATTTTGCTGAATTGTTAAAGCGCATTATTGTCATAGAAAGATTTTGGTTTTTATGTATAAAATGTTTACAATTCTCCCAATACAGTAGGGAAAATTGGGCAAAATAGGCATTGTCCGATGAGAAATGACAGAAAATGCGATTTTCACATCTAATAACGATAATATAAATCATATAATATAATCATTGGGAAATTGCAACTGTAAATATCTTTCCAATTTTACAGAAATTGTTATAAATATTTAGTTTTCCCATGCGTAAATTTTGGAAAACTAACAAACCTTAACAAAACTTTCCAAATATTTCAAGAAAAGAGCTTACAAATTTTTGCAAACTGGCTTAGAATTAGACCAAAGGAATCTTTTTAAGCATCAAAGTATCCAAAATAATTTTATGCACAAAACTTATTGATTTTACAAATTACGAATCCCGCGTGAATTGATTCAATCTGGTTAACTCAAAAATTAAAAACTCAAATCATGAATTTTACCTTTTCGCATTAGAACATTTATCACTTTTTTCTAGCAAACTGGATGCCTCATGTCCCGGAAAAATCTAAGTTATCTCAATTTATGGATTCTCTACTATTTTTTACCCTTTTAAATAATTGTTGTCAACCGTTCAGCACTTTCATATTTTTCATTTCGAATTCCAACCTTCCCATCTTTTTTCACAATCTGTATCCCGCCGACCTTGCGGGAGGGGGTGGTTTATACGGTGCGATTGGGAGGGGTCTTTACATCGTTGATTTTCTAGTTATTTCATGGATGTCGCTAACCCTCTGGTTCATGCTGCTTGTGGCCTGCTTCTCATCTGTAACTTATGCATGTAAGCTTAAGGTGGAATAAATCTGTCATATATTTTAGTCTCGCTCTACCCCTATTCAATATCTTTCACTGAAAATTTTTAAAATAGCATCAATTTCATGAGATTTGAGATAAATAAAACTTTTGAAAATTTAATGCAACTTCGCAAATTCTTTGTATTATTTAGAAGACTAAAAATAAATAACTTGTTAACTCATCTTTAAGGAAATTTGCATATATATTTTTTCAAACCGATAGTATTATCGCTGCAAAAACTAATTTTACTTTAATAGATAAAATTTTTTATTTATCTAAAATCGTCGTGAAATTGATGTTTTTTAAGGAAATTTCATTCAAAAACATTAATATGGGTAGTGCGAGAAAGATTTAAAATGTATTTATGACGCTTGTTTTCACCAGTACCATTCTTCTTTCTGGTTGTAAACGAGTTAAAGTGGGAACAAAATGGAGAAGCTGGTCGTCAAACAATCCCGGAGTTGAGAAATTCCGCAAAAAATATCGTCATAGAATTCAATTCGGTTCGAATTTTGAATTGTGGAATGATGAAATTTCTAGGACCCATGCTCACCCTAGTTAACTTGATGATCGGGCAGTTTTGCTTATTCACAAATTTCGTTGTGATCAGACGATGGAACGAAATGGCGTCATTTACAAAGGTATGGAATTAATCCTCTCAGGCCGATCTTAGGGGGCGTGATTTTTGTTTTAGATATCTGAAAAGCTTTTTTTTTACTAAATTTGGCCATGTATCTTCAAAATTAATAATACAAGTTACAAATTTTATAAATACAGTAATTTTTTAATCAAGTAAACTTAAAGAAAGTAAAAAAAATTGCGAACAAATAATATTCAAAATTTCCTTTACGCGACATTTAGGCCTACTTCATCCTGCTCTCTACCATGTTCCAGCTCGTATGGGGAATATGCCTCGAAGTTTCTGGACGAATTCATAAAAACGTTAATACAGTGTCCAAATCGTGGAAATATTTCACACTTGAAACTCCCCAAGAGAGCAAGTACCTCAGGAAAATGGCAAAATCTTGCCGCCCCATTGGCGTTGGGCAAGATGGGATTTTCATTATAAAGAGAATTTCATCCATGAAATTCTTTAGGGGAATTATTACAGGAACTTTTAAAGCGTTGCTGACAATTGGGAAATCATGAACTTTGAGTAACTTTACACCATTCCTGTGTAAAATTCTGAAAAATAAAAACTATAATCATAGATGTGTAATTAACTTTTATCATAGTAGAACTGTACTTAAATGCACACTCGAAATTAATATGCAATCTTTTTATTGCCATTAAATATTTTATTTCCACACAAGTATTACCCATTTTAATCTCCTTTCAATCTACCAGTCGAGCAATTACCACCCGAGGAGAAGTGCTAATGAGTTAACCACAAGACGTTTATATTTACCTGCTCAAAGAATTTGATGTAACGCATAATTATAGCTTTCCTGTATATGTACATAGGTATAATATATGCATATATGTATATATATAGTAATCATTTTGATTATCTACACATGTAAATAAGAACTTAGCATTTATGTAAATATTTATTCAATTATAATTACTTATGCTTCAGGTATTTAATAATAATAATTTCATATTTAGAACATTCCCTAAAATAATCTAGTGTGTATATTTTATAACTTCGATAATTACTTATGAGTAAGCACTATAACAAAAAAGTTACAAACTGTGTCCTGTAACACGTATATACAAAGCGCTTCGCCTAAGGTTCATAACTACATTACTAAAGAAAGGCATTCATTGGAACGGACCCCATACTTCGAACAATCGTCACCTTAAACGCTACCCCCTTCAGATTTACCTTGCTCCTTGTCCTCCTTCTAAAATGAAAATAAATCCACTCCTGACAAAGAAACACAACTCCAATTCCTACACAAAACAAACAAACAACAATAGGAATTCGCAATTTGTCAAACGATATTGGCACAGCTGTCATGCCATGCTTTGTCCTCATTTCCCTACCGAAAGAAACTTTTGCAAATTCCTCGGCAATATTTCCTTCTCCTTTCACCGCCTGGATATCAACGATTAGCGTAACTTCCTGAAAATTATTTGACCACCACTCATAAATCCCGGATTCTACAACTCTTGCCAATCCGGAAATGAATCTTGGGGCGAAAAAATTTCCGGCCACGATCCATGGCTTAAGCTCCGTGTAAAGCGCGATTTCGCCATTATGAATAGGCACATACGTTGGAAACAGGACCATCGTGGCCTGAATCATGCTCAACGCGAAAGTCGGATCCACGATTGCAAATTGATCAGGAATTATGATCTGTTTTCCAGAAATTACATCACTTAGGAAACCATAATTCGAAATATTTTTAGACATTTCGTAGGCATTAAAAATTCTGATGCATTTTGAACCAAGGCGAAGGCTTGTTAGAACATGGTGCAAGGTATACTTCGAATTAATAGCGTTCATCAGCTGGGGAATGACGAGATCGTGCAAATTGCAACGAGCTATTGGTGTTGGACCGACTAGATAGTCGTCGTAGTGATTTGTCGTAAAAATTGTGGTATTGGTGGAAATCAGCTCCTTCAAAGTGTTCGGAACTTGCTGCGTGGTTCGGGATGTTAATACGGAAACCATGTCGCCCTTGTAAAGTGAGCCGAGAATGTAGATACTTGTCAACCAGGTGCTACACAGGATGAGTAATTTTAGTGTGGATGTTCCCCTCTTTGTGGCGATGGGTTGTTCCATTGCGGTTGTAAAGGACCACAGAAGTAAAAAAGGTTTTGTAGACGCGGTTATTCTAAAAACCAAAATATTTACAAAGACGCCCCCAATGAAGAGCAAAACCCAGGTAAAGATGTCAAATGGGAGTAGAAGGGCGGCATAATTGATATAGTTAGTAACGGTGAATACTTTAAAGTTGAAGGCATTGTAGGAACATCCATAGTTTCCCCAAATGTATCGAGTATTGCTTTTTCGCAAGAAATGTACCTGTTATAAATAAATGATTTAATAATTTTA